ATATACTGCTAAGTGAAGCAACCCAGAGTATGAAAGAGAAGCATCGTATGTCCCCACTTAATATATACTAAATGTTAGCACTCCATAGCAGAAACTGAAAGACTGGAAGGTATAAAAGCAGGGAGACCAAGGGTGAGATAGGGAGACAGTGCAGGAGAAGGGTGGCAAATGGGGGCAGTGAGAGGGAGGCAATGAAAGGAAAGAATAAATAAGCAAAACATTTAAGGGACCCAGAATGGAAGAAAATCTGTTGATGATAATGCATATGATAATATCTTTGAGTGAACCAATATACAATGTATTCATGATGGGAAAATTCATTTGGTACGCTGTAATGCTACACAGTGATTGAATATAAATAAATAAAAATATATAAAACCAAAACAAAACAAACTAACAAAAGACACTAGTCCCTCTATAGAGTTTGCAGACTGCATGGTTGTGTTTCAAACGCAGTCTGGTTCTACAACTTATATCACTATACTCTTCTGCTTTTGAATAATACTCAATATGTGAAGCTGCATTTTTTCCCCCTTAATTTGCCAGAGGGTGCATATGCTTGCCAGAGGGAGGCAGACAGAGAGAGAGGCCAAGAGAGAAGCAGCACCTCCCTGTGGGTGTGGTCACACTGCAATCCCTTCTCCATTTCCCATCTCGTTTGGATTTGGAGTACACATGCATATGCAGCCAGCATGTTTTTCAAGCCGCTGGGGCCTGGATTTGAACTATGCTGTCGGCAATGTGGAATTTAGCTCCCTTAACCACCAGGCCACATGGCTTGCTGTTTTTTTTGTTTTTTGTTTTATTTTGAGAGGTTTTTGCTATAGGGCACATGCCCTCGCCAGAAAGACAGAGAGAGACAGAGAGACAGAAAGCGAGAAATCACCCTTGAGGTTAGCAGTTAGCGTAATGGCTATGTCGCTGGTCGACCAGGGTTTGCATCCCGGACCCGGTGGGTTAAAACTCACGCTGGGGGCGGGTTTTTTTCCAAGAGGAGAATGGAGGAGAAGGGATTGAGGCGTGGCCATCCCCCCTGGGGGGTGATTTCTTGGTTTTGGTCTCTCTTCCTCTCTCTGTCTGGCAAGCGCATGTGCCCTATAGCAAAAACAAACAAACAAACAAAAAAACTCTCTCTCAAAAAAAAAAAGAAGGCGAGGATAGCCATGCTGCAATCCCTTCTCCTCCATTCTCCTCTCGGGATCTTGGGCATGCACACACACGCGCCTGGCATAAGTTTAAGCTGCCGGGTCTGGGACTCGAACTGCGGTGGACTACGTGGGAGTTCAACGACATAGCCGTTACGCTAACTTCTGGTCCCGACCACATAGCTTCCTTTTAAACCTGCTTTTCTGCTTTTCTTTAACGAGACTAGATCACGCCTGATGGGAAAAAAAAAAATATGTTAATGACCTGTTTCATTTGCTACATGGGTTTTTACTTACGAAGAATGATATCTGATTGAAATATTTAATTCATTGATTCATAGTAGACTGAGGGCAAAACTTGAACATTGGGAACCCACTTGGGAGTCTAAATAAAGTCAGCTCTTCTAATTTCCTGCTCACTGAGGGCATGGAACAGGGTAGGGGAAGCTTGTCTATGTCCTGGGGACTTTTCCCCAGTGGCTCCTCCTTGCCCTACTCACATCCCTGCCCAGGAGAGCAGGGTGCAGATTGGAGGCTGTGTCTCTAGGAAGTCACTCCCTGCGGGCTGATGCAGGGAGGCAGTACAGGACTCAGCGTGGCCTGGCTAGCCACTGGTGCCGCGTGAGGCAGCAGAGCCTTGGGACCATCGGGCAGCAAAGGCAGCAGGACACAGAAGCCCTGTAAGAACCGATGTGCTATGCCTCAGTTACCTGCTGGCTCGCAGCTCTAGCATCCGAATGTGACTACTAAGTGCCATCGAGTCAGGTAACGGAGAGGACTAGAGCCCCGTGTTATGAAGGAAGCAGTAGGTTGGAGTCACATCCAGAATAGGGCTGTCAGTGGAGACAAGCCAGGGCAAAGATTTACAGGTGAGGATTCCCCGGCTACGGAGGCCGAGATGGGGATGAAGTGAGAGGCGAAAGGCGGAGTCCAAGGTGTTGGAAAGTTCAGCCATGTGTGATCGGCCTCATTTTCCTGCTCTTAGGGTCTGGCCAGCTCATGACCCCCTGTAACGACTCCCAGGTTGGCCTGGCTCCTTGGCAGAACCTCAGCTCAGCTGCTGAGCATGAGGGTGACTCATTCACCCATGGATGGGGGTCACCAACACCTTGTTAGCTTATACAGCACACAACAGAACAGGGGATGAACCAGGGCAGTTTTTCTCTACTAGAATCATCACTCCAAGGATGAAATAGAATCTTTCACGGTGAAGGCACCAAGAGTGCAAAGAAATCTACATGTTAGAGAGAAAACTTCATCTAGCTCGTTGTAAAGGAAAGAGTCTGTGGCTAGAGGCCAAGCAGGTTTGTACTGGGTGTAGCCGTAGCTCAGAACCTTATTAGCAGGGGGCTTTGAAAAGTACCTGAAATGGGACCAGCAGTTAGCATAATGGCTATGTCACTGGACTCCTACATAGTCAACCGCAGTTCGAGTCCCAGACTCATTGGTTTAAACTCACGCTGGGTGCGTGTGTGTGCGTGCCCAAGATCCTAAGAGGAGAATGGAGGACAAGGGATTGCGATGTGGCCGTCCCCATGGGGGGTGATTCTCTCTTTCTGTCTCTCTGTCTCTCTCTGTCTTTCTGGCGAGCGCATGTGCCCTATAGCAAAAACCTCTTCACAAAAAAAGAAAGTACCTTAAAGACAGCCTGTTTCCTCATGGGCAAAAATGACCTGTGTCTATTTCAAAGGGTTATTTCATGAGCTAGATAACATGCAGGAAGCACCAGGCACAGAGGAGACTGGGGTAGTCTGACCTAAAGTGGACAGGGCAGGTCTAGCGTAAACGTGCTTTGAGAAGTTGCAAAGGGAAGCCAGGCATATGCTGGAGGACAGTGGGGAAAGGTCTGACTCCGGGAGGGAGTCTGGCATCCTCTTTTATTTATTTATTTCTTTTTAAAGAGGTGTTAGCCTTAGAGTGTGTGTGCTCCCTGAAGAGAGAGAGAGAGACAGAGGCAGTGAGGGGGAAAGTGAGAAATCGCCCCCCAGAGGGGATGGCCATGTCGCAATCTCTTCTCCTCCATTCTTCTCCCGACATCTTGGGCACACACGCACATGTGCACAGTGTGAGTTTTAAGCCATCAGGTTCCAGGACTCAAACCACTGTTGGCCATGTGGGAGTCCAGTGACGTAACTGCTACACCACCTGCTGGCCCCTGGGAGTCTGGCATCTTCTATGGTTTTCAAACTGTGTCCTTTGGAATTCAGAAGCCAGCTGGGGGTAGGGGAAGGGGAGGAGTATGGGACTGAAACTCAAGCAGCTAGGGCTTTGGAGACCCTAAGAGCAGCAATGCTTTTCTCTATTCAGAACTCTGGGGTTCCTAAATGATTTGTTCGAGAAAGGATTTGGAGGCTAAAACAAACAACCCTAAATCTGAAGACTGCAGAGATAAGTAATACAGAAGGGCACATTCATGTGTGTCTGTGTGCTAGAGGGTGTGTGCCCTCTCCAGAGAGAGACAGAGAGAGTGGGAGGGAAGGAAGAACTCCCCATAGAGAAAGGTCATGCCACAATCCCTTCTTCTCCACCTTTCCCTCCTTTCCGGGATTTTGAGCATGCATGCACTCATGCCTGGGTATGTGTTTCAATCCCGGAATCTGGTGATCGAACTGTGCAGTTGGCCATGTGGGGTTGGGCTGCCTTAACCACCAGGCTATGGAGCAGATCCCAGAAGGCCACTCTTAAAACAGACATCATGGAATGAAGCTTCATCATTGATGCAAAGAGGAACAGGGTAGATAATCTTGATCTGTGGGCAAAATTCCTTAGGTAGAGGGTGGGACTGGATATAGCACTGCTCTTTTTTTTGGAGAGGTTTTTGCTATAGGGCGTGTGTGCTCGCCAGACAGACAGAGAGACAGAAAGTGAGAAATCACCCCCAGGGGGGATGGCCACACCGCAATCCCTTCTCCTCCATTCTCCTCTCAGGATCTTGGGCATGTATGCACATGAGCCCGGTATGAGTTTAAGCCACAGGGTCTGGGATTCGAACCGTGGTTGGCTACATGGAAGTCCAGCGACATAGCCATTACGTTAACTGCTGGTCCCCAGCACTGCTCTTTACCAGCAAGAATCAGGAGCCCTAAATGATAGACTGAAAGCCAAGGATCTGTCTTGAAGGACAGTAGATTGTACTACGTGATTGTACCACCCAGCGCTCATGGAGAAAGATTCTCTTAGGCTCCCCAAATGCACAAGGATGAACATTTAGGGAGCTCTTCAGGGGCCTTGCACACTCCTACACAAACACAGAACTTCCCCAACACCCCAGCTGCAGAGACCTGAGCCGTCTGCAGGCGGCGCCTTCAGCTCTTCCCGGATGCTCTTACCTTCTTCAGCTCTTCCTGGATGAGGGCGTGTGTGCTCGCCAGACAGACAGAGAGACAGAAAGTGAGAAATCACCCCCAGGGGGGATGGCCACACCGCAATCCCTTCTCCTCCATTCTCCTCTCAGGATCTTGGGCATGTATGCACATGAGCCCGGTATGAGTTTAAGCCACAGGGTCTGGGATTCGAACCGTGGTTGGCTACATGGAAGTCCAGCGACATAGCCATTACGTTAACTGCTGGTCCCCAGCACTGCTCTTTACCAGCAAGAATCAGGAGCCCTAAATGATAGACTGAAAGCCAAGGATCTGTCTTGAAGGACAGTAGATTGTACTACGTGATTGTACCACCCAGCGCTCATGGAGAAAGATTCTCTTAGGCTCCCCAAATGCACAAGGATGAACATTTAGGGAGCTCTTCAGGGGCCTTGCACACTCCTACACAAACACAGAACTTCCCCAACACCCCAGCTGCAGAGACCTGAGCCGTCTGCAGGCGGCGCCTTCAGCTCTTCCCGGATGCTCTTACCTTCTTCAGCTCTTCCTGGATGCTCTGGCTGTTCTCCTCAGAGGACAGACTTTCCTTCTGGTTCTCAGATTCCGTCTTGGGCTCAGACTCCTGATCTTCTCCCGAAGAAGTTTCCTTCTCACTCATTTTCATGGCTAGCTCGTACAATCTGTTTCGTAGTTTCTCCTCTGTGGTGTCCTTGCCGGTCTGGAGGTGCTGAGCCTCACTGCTGATGTCAGTCTCTGACAGATCATCTGATACCTAAAGGAAAGGCAGAATAACTCTGGAGTAAAGGAACAGACAGTCTGGGAAGGTCATGGCTCTCTTACCTGATGTGCTTTCTCAAACATATCCTTTTTTGGGGGGGAGGTTTTTGCTATAGGGCGTGTGCTCGCCAGAAAGACAGAGACAGACAGAGACAGAAAGCAAGCAATAACCCCCCAGGTGGGATGGCCACGCCGCAATCCCTTCTCCTCCATTTTCCTCTCAGGATCTTGGGCACGCACACACACGCACCTGGCATGAGTGTCTGCCACCGGGTCTGGGACTCCAACCCTGGTTGACCGCATGGGAGTCCAGTGACATAGCCATTATGTCAACTGCTGGTCCCTCCATTTTTTAACACTTTGTGAAAGGGGTTGGGCAGTTGAGCATCTGTATTGAGGAATAGTGTTTTGATAGTTTTGATCATTCACTCACTGAAGTCCCACCATGGAAGCACTGTGCTGGCGTTGAAGACACTGAGCAAACCTGGCTGGCCCCTTGCTTGGCCAGCCACCTAGTGGAGGACAGACACTCAAACTGTATGTCCTAACGTACGTGCAGAGATGATTGATGATAATGATGAGTGTTTTGGGGTAGGGCCGTTCTGACAGCCCATAAATGGGTTCTTGATGGGAGGGTTAGGGGATTAAGAAAGACTTCTTGGCAGAAATAAGAGAGAGAGGGATGAATTGTATTCCAGATAAAGGGTAATGATTTTGAGATGCAAAGTCCCTGCAGATATGTATAAACTACTGTGTGACATTCCCTTCATCATTACAGACTCAGCTTAAGAATGACATCTCCTGCTCCTCCTATCTGTTTGGCAAATACCTCCAACTTCTTTTTATGAGTAAGGTCTTTACCAGGCTGGAAGACCCTAGAAAGACATGGAGACGTGCCTTTTTCTCTATTCTTAGCCTTCGGTTGGACAGATGTATATTGAAATGCTCGGAGGTTTATGACATGGTGTGCTATCAGCATCTATTGGACCCAATTTTAGTTTTCGAGTTTCCTCTTTTGAGTTGGTCTATCTATTTGTAGAACTTGCTATTTCACAGCTTTCTCTCTTAGAATTCCAAAGAACAAAAAGAAATTTACTTTAAAAAAAAATGGAACAAAATTCATTATAGTTTGCAATGACCAGTTGGTTCCTTGGACCTTTTTATAAATCTAAGAGACATGATGTGATCTCTGTGATCTTATTTTTCCTATCTATGCGATGTCATCATCCTGGGAATTGTTTTTCACCATTACTCACAAATTGTTCCCAATTATGCTAAGAGAGACCAAAATAATAAGTAGAAGCATGGAACTGCCTGAAAGGATGATTCAGTAGTGAGATAAATCATCACCGTTTTGAGTCTGCTTTTAGCTTTCATTGTACACAGTTGAGAATTCGCATTATTTTTCATGATACTGAAGAGAAGAAAACTGACCGAGAACAACATCTCACAACTATTAGATGACTAAGAAAATGAATCCAAAGGGGAGAGCAACTCGTTAGAATCTACAAGGGAGGTGAAATCTATTGTATAAGTAAAATCTCAAACTAAGAATATTCAGATGGCAGGGTCCTGGATGAACTTACTCAAACTCAAGGGCCAATGAATACATATTGTCCATGTTATTGATAAGGGTAAAAATGAAATGTGTTATTTCCATCCAGTTAGTAAACAGAAAGAGCCTTATTCTACAACATTTTGCAACAAGAATCTGGACTATCTTGTTTTGCTGAAAAAGATGTGCAACAAATTCTTTTGTGTTTCATGGTGTCTGTCCATCAAATTTACTTGATACGCTTTGTAATTTGATAAACTCTAAAGAAAGATGCCTATGCAAAGATGATTAGGAGGAAAAAGATGGCATAGATATGAGAAAAAGAATCACTGAATTAGTAAAAGAAAAAGGTCCATCAGAAATGATTATTTTGTTCTGGTACTAAAATTAGAATTAGCGATGAGAGTTGTCCAGTGTTCCCAGTATGCTCAAGGAGAGATTCCTTTGCCTGGGAGGTGGAGATGGTCCACAGGAAGAATGGCCTCTGGGTGGGCTCTCAAAATATGAGGGACATTTTAATATGTAGTCAGGGAGACAGGCACTCTAAATAAGGAAGCAAAAAGACCCAGGTGTATAATAATGCTTGGCAAAATTAGACGAATAAGCACAGAAATGGAGAGAGTGGAAGCTTAGGGGAATGGAGAAAACCAGCTTGGATCAGACTGCAGAGGGCTAAATGTTGACCTCAGAATGCAGCGTTAGCTACCAAAAAAATTTTTGGCCGCTGTTGTGGTATGCACTACATTAGTGGGGCAATTAGCAACTAGCTGCAAACCCATAGCTGATAACCTTCCCCAGTCACCTCTACTGAACATAGTTAACCCATGGTCAGTTCATCTAACCTCTGGTTTGTTTTTTTTAGCTTTGGCCTAATTATTCCTTAACTATACAGACTATGAAACACTAATTTACAAGGCTAAAATAGTTCATCCAAAAGAAGTCTGTTTAACATGATCAGTCCATGTTTCCTGTCTGTTTACCATAGGAGAACTTATAGAGAAATGGTTATCGTGATTCAGTCAACACTCAACAAACACTCACTGAGCACCTACTATGTGCTGAGCCCTGTGCTAGTGACTGGGGTTCAAAGGTGAGAGTGCTATTATTCTTGCTCTTGTAGAGCTCACAGTGTGGTGGAGAAAAGGACATCACACCAGATAATTGTGATATCCTGGGAATAAGATCTACACATACATGTGAGGGTGTAATGAGACTCAGAAGAGGGGCCCTTACCTGGTTGGTTGAGGTGGATGTTATCAGAAAGGGAAACTGGAATAGGAGACACTTGAGAACAACGTAAATAATGGAATCCTAAAGATTAAGAAGACGTATCTCAAGTTTTATTTATTTTTTATTTGCCAGAGGGCACATCCACTCACCAGAGAGAGACAGAGACAGAGATAGGGAGAGAAAGGGAGAGGGCAAAAGCGCCTCTCAATGGGATGTGGTCATGCCCCAATCCCTTCTCCATCTCATCATCCTGTTGGAATTTTGGCCACGTATGCACATGTTCTTGGAGGGTTTTTCAAGCCACTGAGTCTGGGACTTGGACTGGCCAGTCAGCCATGTGGGATCTGGCTCCCTTAGCCACTAGGCTACTGTGCTGGTCTTTAAGTTTTATTTGTGTTAATGATGGTCCTAGACTTCACAAAAATGTCTAATCATACATACAGATCAGATGCTCAGGAGATAAGATATCATGAGCATAATTAGAAACATCATATCAAAAGTCACTAGGGTTTCAACAATAACTTAGTGCTATTTGACCATACAAAATTTATCAAAGAGGTCAACAAAGATTGGGTCATCCAAGAAGTCATGACATATTTTTCTATGCAAAAATGCATCATGATGTTTCCAGAAACCCAGTATTTACATTTCCAGAGAAAAATAGATATGTTTTCAGTTTGCAAAGGGTTAAGCAGTCCATGCCCTAACCCTAACCTTAAGATAGTACTTTCTTTTTACCAGCACATGTGTTCACCAGAAAGAGACAGAGACAGAAAGAGAGAAAGTAAGAAATCACCCTCCTCCCACTCCGGAAGGAATGGTCACACCACAGTCCCTTCTTCATTTTCCTCTCAGGATTTTAGGCACAGATGCACATGTGTCCAGTGCGTTTTTCAAGCCATTGTTTCTGGGACTCGAACTATCGAGTCAGCCATGTGGGATCTAGCTCCTTAACTACCATGCTACCTCCTGTGAGAAGGAGCTCCCAGTGCATGTATTCACCGGAGACAGTTCACATTAGAGGTACTGCATCATTTCCCACCACTTCCACTGGAGTCCACAAGATGGACTGCTCTCAGATCTCAGGTCTAAGAGTAGCGTTCTTTATGAAATGGGCTTTGGGACCAACAGTTAGCGTAATGGCTATGTCACTGAACTCCCATGTAGCCAACTGCGGTTCGAGTCCCGGGCCCGGTGGCTTAAACTCACGCTGGGCGCATGTGTGTGAGTGCCCAAGATCCTGAGAGGAGAATAGAGGAGAAGGGATTGCAGTGTGGTCATCTCCCCTGGGGGAGGGTGATTTCTCACTTTCTGTCTTTCTGTCTCTGTCTTTCTGGCGAGTGCACGTGCCCTATAGCAAAAACCTCTCCAATAAATAAATAAATAAATAAATAAATAAAAGAAATGTGCTTATGGTCCCATGATGGCTTCCATGACTCAGAAAATTCCTCATGTCACCCTCCTTCTATTGTCTGCTAAAAAGTCACAGTGAATTTTTGCTATCTCTAGCACACAATTAGAATTTCATAACATCTTTTTTTTTTCATTGCGAGAGGGTGCATGCACTTGCCAGAGAGAGGGAGAGAGAGAAAGTATCCTCCCAATGGGGCATGGTCACACTGCAATCCCTTTTCCTCCATTTCTCTATTCTGTCAGGATTTTGGACATGTATGCACCTGCATCCAGCATGTTCTTCAAGTCACTGGGGCCAGGATTTAATCTGAGACCAGCAATGTAGGATCTGGCTCCTGAACCACTAGGCTGTGGGGCTGACCCTTCTCGTATCCATTTTATGAAAAACATTATTTCTGACTTCCTCTCGTCTTTCCTACCCTGGTTTTTCCTTTGTCCTACTTTTCTCACCAGTACATTTTTGTAAATCTTATTTTCTCCTGTTTATATTTATGTACATCGCTTTAAATTATTTCTGGAGCAAGCCATAAACATATGAAATAAAGGAAAACTTAACAGATCATTAGTTATAAAGACTTGGTAGCTTCTCAAAACGGCAATATTCTTAGCACATTTTTAAAGAATATTTAGGATCTAGAATGCTAGATAGGGGCAAATTCATCCAAATAAAACAAGTTTCACTAATGAGTACAACCCAAAATGAAACACTGGAAGAAACTAAAAGTAGCAGCCTCTTGCAGTCCTGAAGTCTTAATCAACAAAACATTAATCAGCAAGTTTCCATTTTAAAATGGCAT